TAAAGAAGGTTATTCTAATACAGAAGAAATGCTATTTTGGATTGAAAATATTTGGAATCAACATGTATTATTATTTAGTAATCCTCGATCCTTATTAGTGCTTGATTCTTTTACAAGTCATTTAGTAAATTCTGTTAAAACTTGACTTCAAGAAAAAATACTAATATAGCAGTTATACCTGGTAGGCTTACTTCCAAATTGCAACCATTAGATGTATCAGTTAACAAATCCTTTAAATCTAAAGTATGTTTTAAAAAAATTTATATTTATATATTTATAATTCAAATACTTAAATTTTTATTTATATTAATAAAAGTTGCGTTATTATTATAATGATTGGCTGGTTAAAGAAATAAAAACTTATACTTCAAGTGATCATATTCAAAAATCTGCTTATAATTTAGTTGCTCAATAGATCAAAAATATATGGAATGCTGTAGATCTTTCCTTAATTTGTTGTTCATTCAAGTGTTGTGGAATTTCTATTAAACAAGATGAAAGTGAAGAACATCTTATATTTGATTATAATAAAATTGTAGGAAGTAATACTAATAATAATAATAATTATGTATACTTAAATAATGAAATAGATGATCAGAAAGCTAGAAATATTAAAATTTATTTAGAAAAAAAAAATTAATATTAGTGATAAAGAATGTGAAGATAATTATTATGAAACACAAAAAAGAAATCATATTAATGATTGGAATTAAATGTATAATAATATAATGAAATATTTGAGAATTTGAAATAAAATATAAACATTTTTGAAAATAATAAATTTGATTATTTTTTAATTTTATTAATTTTATTTGTGAAATTTAATTAAGTTTGCTTCTTTTTTACTAATTTTATCAATGAATAGAATCATCTTACTTTTTGAAAGATGTGTTATTAATATTATTTCTTTAAATAAAATAAACCCAATAAATTAGTAAAATAAATAATATAACAAAAAATAAAATTAAATGAAATAAACTTCTTACTCAATCCTGTTATTATTGAATTTATTAATTACTTGATTAATAGCATTCAAGAATTTATTACAAAAATTAGTAAAGTAAAGCTTTTATTTTATACAGTCAACCCTTGATATAACGAATTTTATGTCCTGAACTTCAACTTCGCTATAGAGCTATAGTGAATTTTTTAAAGAATTTGATTGGCTAGTTCATTATAACGAGGGTAAATTTAATATAGTTGTCCAAAAAATTCGTTATATAAAAATTCGCTATAGAGAGGTATGACTGTATCTGGGTATTAATTAAATTTTTATGTTACATAATAATATACCGTAAAGCGCGTTCTATAGTACCTGGGTATTTTATATTATACAATATTTTAAGGGATACTATAATCAAAGGGGTACTTTGGTATGATAGGGATATACATGGCAAAAAGTCTTAACTATATATAGGTAATAAGTTAATAGATGTTATATTTTTTGATTTAACTATGACGATAATTGGTAATAAATGTTATAAATATGCTAGAGTTACTAAAAAACTTTGACGATAATGGTGTTCTTGTGAAAAACTTATGATATTACATTATACACAAAGAGTTCAAAGTAAAAAGTCTGCTGCAAAAAGGTTTGATATTGAATTAAAGCAAATAAGAGATTGGAAAAAAAAGTGAGCAACTTATGATTTCAGCTTTATATATTAAAAAGTTACATCCAGGAAGGTCTCCAAGTTTATCTGAGTTAGAAATACCATTATTTCAATGGGTTCAGGATTTAAGGCAGGAATGTAAAGCTGCTGTAACTTATAATATGATTGTAAAAAAAGCAAAATAATTAGCAGAAACTGATGAAATGAAACAACTTTATCAAACAATTCAAAATTTTAAATTTTCTAACAAGTGGTTAGATGATTTTATTGGTAAAAATAACTTATCTAATAAAAGAAGAACAACTATTTCCCAAAAATTACCAAAAGATTTAATTGAACAACAGCATCATTTTTAAGTTTTATTCTTTATAGGTGTATACAATATGATTATCCTTTCAAATTAATTGCTAATCTTGATGAAACTTCTCTCAGTTTTGATTTACCATCTTCAATAATATTAGAATCAAAGGGATCTAAAACTGTTAGTATTAGGTCAACTGGTCATGAAAAAATTGTTTTACAATAGTTTTGGCATATATGGCAGATGATACTAAATTAAAACCTGTAATTATTTTCAAATTAAAAAATATTCCTTACAAAATCTTTCCTGATGGAGTTAAAATTTATGTTAATGAAAAAAGTTGGGTTAATGAGAAAGAAATGCTTTGGTGGATTGAAAATGTGTGGTATAATAGGGAAGGTACAAATAATAATCCAAGAAGTCTTTTGATATTTGATTCTTTTCGTGATCATTTGGTTAATAGTGTTAAAAATAGACTTGATAAAAAACAAATAAATATTGCAGTAATTCCTGAAGGGTTAACTGGTAGACTTCAACCATTAGATGTGAGAATTAATAAAATATTCAAATCTAAGGTAAATTTTTTTTTTTATAATTATTTTTTTAAAATTTAATTTTATTTAATAATTTTATTGTTTTATTAGATTTGTGAATTATATAATGAATGGATATCTAAAGAAGTTCATGAACTTACTCCTGCTAGAAGAATTAAAAAGCCTACTTATAATAAAGTAGCATAATAGGTTAAGGTTGCTTGGGATAGCATTAATGTTGAAAAAATCAAATAGTCCTTCAAATGTTGTGGTATTTCTGTAGCAAAAGTTGGCACAGTAGATGATTTTATTTTCGATTATGATTTTCTAAATAATGAAAATAATAATCTAGATGATGATGTGATGTTTGAAGATATCATATATGATGATTTTGTTGCTGGTTATAAAAATACTTGGAATTAATTAGCATTAATTTAGATAATGTAAATGTTTGAAAAAAAAATAACTTGCATTTTATTAGTAATATAAAAACTATTTTTTACATTTGATAAATATTTATCATATTTTGTATTAATAAAAATTAAAAAATTTATACATTTATTAACATTAACGCGCAGTATTGTATATTAATATCAGGTTATAGTACCTGAGTACTTTACATGATTCGCGATGTATAATACCCAGGGTACTATAGAGTGCGCTTTACGGTAATATTCGGATACAATTAACTGGGGGTATGGTTAATTGGTTTTTTATTGTTTATCAAAAATAAATAAATAAATCTTTTATATCACTTAACCAATTAGATTTGATTATATTATCTTGATTTTTTCTTATTACACACAAATTAGCCAATCAGAATCCAACCTTCAAGTTTGCACACATGATATCAATATCGTAAAAATAAACTTTGCGTTCTTCCCATTTAGGAATTTAGGAAATAAACATTTCACATTACGCGTTAAGTTATGGTATTTTTATTATAAATACACTACTCACCTCTCGAAAATTTCCATCTTTTTCCTTCTGTCTCAAAATTTCCATACCCTTTTCCTTATCAATATTTACTTATTTTTTTTTCCCTGTAAAAAAAACTTCTCTATTACAAAACTCGAAACTTTAGGACTGTGTATGTATCTTCCATAAATATTGTTTTCGTGAAAATTCTTGGAAAAAATGTCACTAATAATACTTTTCTTTTTTCTTTCTTACAAGTCTTATTTCTCATCTTCTGCCATATTTAATATGCGTTTCAAATTTAAGCTTCTTTTTTTTCTCGTGACATACGACAACACTTATTGATAAGACCAAAAAAAAATGTTTAAGTATTGAACCTTTTTAACATTTAATATTCTTGATTTTATTATACAACAACGGGAAAGTGGAAATAGTAGGCAAGGATGGTATCTATTTATTTGTTTTTGTTATTTTTATTATTATTTTTTTCTTCGGGTAAAGAAGATAAACGTAGAATTGCAACTGGACCTGGGGGGATAGGAGCTTAATAGGCAAGTCAACTTTGTTGGGCTTTAACTAGGCTACTGGAAGGAGGTTGAATGGTAACCTATTAGAGAGAGTGGGTTTTTTTTCGGTAAGGGACTGCTTTTTCCAGAGGAGGAAATCGCTATGTATCTGCCTTTACAAGTCAAGAAAACAGCGTTCCTTAGGCCTGGCTTCTCGCTTTCGGAATGCATTTCTTAGAGTTACTTACCTCAGGCTTTAGTTGCAGTAGATATTTAAGTTTTTATATGTAAGTTATTTTATCTTATATCTTTCTGTTCTTTGGTCTTGTCATATGTGTTGTATGGTTATCTTTGTATAACAATTACAATTATGATTAAAGTATTAAACAAAAATGTATCGATACATATATTTTATTTTTGTTTTAATTATATAAATAATTTTGCTTGTGCCCGAAAACTCGAAAACTGCAAATTCTTAAATAAAGTAGACTATTATTAAAAAAAAAATTGGATAATATTACTAAAGGCATAATTATTATTAAAAAATTTAATTATCTTCGCCCTTAATGCCAAAAAATAAATTTTCTTCAAAAAACAAGTAACGTCATCTATTACTATATACTCTATGGCATGTGTTGTGTAAATCACCGTATAAAATTCTAATAATTTCATGATTTTATTTTGATAATATTCTCCCAAAAATATTAATATTATCGAAAAAGCGTAATTCGAATAAACATATAAAAAAATCATTGGTATTCCATCAAAATGTTGTAACGGGAATAACAGGATTCCATTATATGGGTTAGGACTCAGCAAATTTCCTCCCTTGAAATCATGCTTCTCCATTATTTTTACTTAGCCGGCTGAGCTTTCTCTTAATGTATTCATATTACATAATAAAGAATATGTTTTCAATTGATTTTTATGTATTATACACAGAAAATAATAAAGTTAGTTTTGTCATATTAAAAAAATAAAGTATTTCACAAATTATGTAGCATTTGGCAAGTTTATTTTGATTTTATGTTCGTGAAAAGTGACAAGTCTTAAGTACTTTGCATAGTAAAATATCTACTATTAAAAACTGTGAGACGATAAAATTACAAAACAATTTTAACTATGGTAATTATTTTTTGTTGGAAGTAACTTCAGATAAGACTTGCTCCATCGTACGTACTGATGGCTGGTTCATCGCAGTCAAAATTATTTTATCTGGTGGGTCAATATCATTAGCAAATAGCGTGGTTGGTCGACAGTGCAAAAAATTATAATCTACAAGTGAATTAACTTGTTTAGGACCAATTGCTTTAATCAAGTCATCTTCTAAAATGTACCCTTGATCCTCTGACTTCACAATTGCTTTCATAGTTTTGATTAAATCATAACCTTTCCAAAGTGGTAGATTGGGCTTATCTGAATATCTCAATATCTTAGGATAGAGACCATGTTTCAGCTTATCATATTCTGATCCGTAAATTGAAAAATTGCTATCTGTAAAACAATTTGTTCAAAACTTTTTAGATTTTTTAAAATTAACAAAAATGCATATCCTTTAAAAACAAAATAAAATCTGATAATCACGTTCAAACTTTCCATCGTAATTTTGGTATTCTTTAACATATCTATCAATAATCAGCATACGTGTACCTGTTATTCTGCGAATGTGGTCAAATTTGTCTTTGAGTTTTTTGCATTCTTTTTTAAATAACAAATACCATCATGTGAGCCCTCAGTATATAAATAGATGGTTCAGTAAAGACATATTATATCGAGAAAGTACCGGCTTTTTAAAATATTCTTTGGCTTCTTTCTTGCTCAAATCTCCAACAACATATGGGGTTGCGTGTGGGATAAGTAAAACTAGGCAAAAAATGCGGATTAGAGGATCATAAACATTTACATTGCTATCAAATATGATTATAAGGACTTATGATTTTTGATCCAATCAAAAAAGAATGAATCAGAAGAGGTAAGTACTACATGAAAACGTTCCTTTTCTTTTGTATTTACCACCATTCAGTTCAGAATTGATTTGAGAAGAACTTTTCCCTCTTCTGAAACACAAAGTTGGCTAAACATGTTTGCTTCATCGATGACCAAAATGGGTGAAGGTATCTTGTAACTATCCCAGCAGGTCCAATTCGGGAGAGCATTACCAATACCATCAAGCAACTTACTGACATCGTTAGAAGTAATTACTTTCTCACTAAATGGATCCCACCAAATGTATTTAACTGGATATCACTGACTTCTTCTTGTTCAATTAACTTTTTAAAGAGATCCATATATTTTTTGAAAAATGGCTTGAATTGCGAAGATATTGAATAGTATATTCTCTTTGGTGTGTCAAATTGTCCTAGACGACAGTTGATAAAAAAAGGGTTGAAATCACCTTTACTCGTTACCTCATAGATCAGTGTGGTTATCCCAGTCTAGGAGGACCTAGAACGACATGAAGCTTCAGATCAGTACTAAATGCATTTTTAAACTTAACAAGTTCTCATTTTCGATTGAAAAAGATCTTTTCATGAGTAACTTGTGTTGTATAACGAGAAACACGACCAGTTCTAAGTGTATTTGAGATATAATTACCGCTGATAGGCAGGCGTTTAGTTGAACCGAAAGTAAGCATGATTGTGTCGCAGTAAAGATTTTCATGCAACAATTGATATTTATCAGGATCTCACATAATACAAATTTACGGAAAAATTAGTGCCGAGATTGACAGAAAAAATTTTCACATACCTAAGCCACCTTAGTATTTACGCTGGACTGATTCCGAACGAAACTTATGCAAATTAAGGTTAACTGTTGTTTTAGACAAACGAAAGACGATGTGGTCAGGCATTAGTATATAAACGTGATTTTGTAAAGTAAATATACATAGGCAAGAATTAATGATTTATTTGGTTGCTCACGATTTTTGACATGTATACGATGTGGTGTGTGTGAGAAATTTTTATTCGATTCTTTGTGATTCCGGATGAATAAAATTATAGTCGAAAAAAATAATAGTGAATCGCAAAAGCATTTAAAATTTTGAGTTTATTCAATGAGGTCCAGTTCTCGAAGTGATTTGGAATAACTACGTATGGATTCTCATAATACCAAACCTGTCTTAAAGCAATGCAATTTTCATCACAGAGTTCTTTTTTGAACTGATCACGTATCAACTGCTTTTGAAATTCTTCCGGTGAGTTATTTCTTTATTTCTGTGCAATAAATTTTATTATTTATATATTTATGGGTTGTTTTATTAAGGCATCATATTGAAGTAGTGAAAGTGATTTAGGTATTGGCTATCCTGAATGTGATGAAGGTTTTAACAATCGTCATGAGTTCATGAAATACTATGAAAAGGACAAGCGTCGTAAAATTCAGGAATAGTTATAATAATAGGAGATTCTGTTCAAAGATAATTATTCAACAATAATATAATTGTAGCTACAACATAATTTAAAAATGTAAAAAGCATAAAAATATAAGTTGCAAATACAGACAGAATAAAGCATAATATTTGCGTATTTGTTAAAAACTTCTGAAGGTCAATTTTTAATATAATGTAAAGTGATTTAAATAATAATCTGCTAATTTAACTTTCAGTTAATGAAAAAATTTGCTATATCAGAAATTTCATGTGCGTAATAGTGTAATGTTGCTAATATTTACCAACATATCCTTCAGAAATTTCATCCGTATATTATAGAAATTTCTGCTTTTATGAAAGAAATAAATATAAAATCTGTTTGATTCTTTGAAAAATGCTAAGATTTAGTATAACTGAGCAGTATGTTAAAATTTTATTACCTATAATTAATTACCTCTCACTTTTTTATGACAGATTCATTACCAAACTTTTATTGACTTTTTTTTTATACGTAAAATACGCTTTGCAAATAATTAAACGGAATCAAGCCTAATCTCAAAGAAAAAATATACTTTTTTTTAAACATTCTAACTGAAAATAAAAAGTGTAGTTATATGAAAAAATTATGGTAGATTGGTTCCTGTGTATAGCTCAGATTAAGAAAATTGTCTAAAGACAAGTCGGAAAAGAAAAACCGCAATTAATAAAGGTCCGACAGTATTAAGGCGCAGTACTTACTATACTTATAAGTGAACATACATGTAATGATATAGTATAATGTCATAATAAGGGGGGATTGACTTACATATTTCATGCGAGAGAATCAATATATTTTTTTAAGAGTTTGAGTTTGAGATTAAAAAGTATAAAAAAGGAGTGTTATCTTTCTCTTTTTTTTCATCTTGAAGTCCTTTCCTTAACTCTTTTATTACATTTACACCTTAATTCTTTTACACCCTACATTCATGAGTGATTCTATTATCCAATTAGATCATCTATTAATCTTAATTGTATCACTTATATCGACACTCCAGAAAATAATCATATTTTTTCAATTAACGTAAAAAAGGATTTGACTATTAGCAGTCTTAAAGAAATAATTAAGGAGGAGAGACCAAACTTATGATATGGAATTGTGGAGGGTTAATATCAATCCTGATGAACTGATGCTTAATATGTTTGATGTAAATATCGAGAAAGAACTTGGAGGTGACAAAATGTCAGTCACAATGAAGATTTCTTCTTGGTTCCCTAATGAACTTAATGAAAAATATCTACATATCATTGTCGAATTGCCTGAATATCGAATCAACTTTAAGAGCTGTACTGATAGAAAAGAACCTGTTCCTATGGATAAGGTCATTTTCAAGGAAGGTTTCTTCGAGCTAGAAGGTAAAATCGTTCTTACCAATGTAGGAATTCAAATCAAATCAATTTATGAATCAAACATAATTATGATGGATTCATTTTCTGAATATATAAAGCGAGTAAGGAAATTAACAAAAAAAATCCGTTGATGAACAAGCAAAGAATCTTTTGGAGGAGCAACCACAAAGAAAACTTAATGTGGTATATGAGAGAAAACATCATCATAAGTATGATTCTTATTTTTTTTTATTTTAACCCTGATATTCTTCTTTAATAATGAACTGATTTATTTTTTAGATCTATTCACATTTGTTGAATAAAAGATTTTCCTGGTGCACAGATACTTGAACAAAGAAGACTCCAAAAACTCCCATAGCGTGGTGAATGACAATTTCACGTAATTTTAAATGATCGTTTCTATGAATTATCATCTGAGAGTGCCTTTACAGAAATTTATTGGAGTCATGAAATGTCCACAGTGTTTGCAGGATGATGAGGAAGAAGTTATTCTTGTTTCTATGGATCTGCCAGAGGGGTCGTTATTACCATTTCCTCTACCGATTAGATTTAAGAGCGTGCCTTGTTTATTGATTATGATGTAGTCATTCCTTTCCATCGCAATTACCATGAAAAGCTTGTGCATGGTATTAGCATTGGTAATCTTAAATCTCCGAACAAGAATGCATGTACCATAAGTCTATTAATTCGAATGAAAAAGAAATCCAAAGAGAATTTCAAAGGTTTTACATTATTACTACAAAACATGGACCAGTGTAGTATGCCAGTAGATAACGTATGTCCTTATAAGTGATTGATTATTCGTAGATTTACTTTACTAATTTAGAAATTTATTTGATAAAGGGTTGAAAGGTTGTGCTTCAGTTACTAAATACACTTGTATAAATACCGACGCTAATAATCACCTCATTGATTATGCAATTTGCAGACTCATCAATGATCATAGGGTTTCAATAAACCCGAATACACCATTTGGATCTGGGATCATTGTTGAGGACCTTTCTTATGTAGGTAGCAATTCCTATAAAAAGATTTACGTTAAGAAGTCTGGAACGACAGTTGTAGCAGAAGATATTATGACCGATGAATGGTCTTCCGTTTATGATTTTGCTTTTAATCCCCCAAGAAATACCCTGCTTTAAAAATAGTTCCTCGACAATTAGGATCATCATTTGGTAAGTCAATTATTATTTAAATAGTAGATTTTGCAGTTTAATGTTATTTATCATTAATTGTAATACAGGTGCTCCAGGAGATTCTGGTTCTACCAATATTTGACGAAAATTATCGGTTGTTAGGAATACTTCATGGTGGTAACGAACAAGCATGCTATATGGTGCCCATCGAAATAATTAAAGAACTCATTATAAAGTAGAAATTGATTTAGTCGGTAATATCATTCAACATCTTTAAAGGTTGGTCATGATTAAAGATGTAAGCGAACCTTTTCTCGTTTTAGACATTTAATTAAATACTACGGCTTGACTTTGATGTATTATGTAATTTATATTCTGTGTATTGTGACAAGAATAAAAAATTTACTTTCTTTGAATTCAGCACGTGAAACGAAGAATTACAATTATCGATTTTATTTGCGGGCAACGATTTTTTTTAACGTAGACAACCAAAATCAATCATTTTCTTTTATTTCGTTTTTTGAGTTTGATCGCTTCACGTTGTTGTATTGATTAAATAGGTAGGTAAAGCGTTTCTCGTTTGATACGATTTCTTTTGGTCATACCTCTTTCGAAATAGGATTGTGTTAAATTAAATAAATATTCAGGTTCAGGCCGCAACGATCGAATATTTTTATTGTTTTGCCCTTTAGTTTGATTATTCTTACTTTTTTTTTTAAAAAGTTATTCTGGAAGTATTAGGTAAGGTAATCTTACTTATTCTTATTTTTGTTCATTTTATTTTATGGCTTTGGGTTGCAGCGATGGAGAATCTTTAAATTATGCCTAAATTATTATAAATCTTCGAACTTACTGCGCCACTCAAAAAGAGATTCGATTCGATTTTCGATTTTCGATTAATCGATCGATTCGATTCCAATCCCTATTTGGGAACTTAATTTTCGAAAACAATTTTACAAATGAATCATTTAATAAGAACTTCTAGTAAGGTACCATTAGGACGTTACTTTATTACTTCAAACCTTTACTTTTCTAAAAGACCCTGTCTAAAATTAAAATATACACGTAAATTTTCCACTCCCCCAATATTTTTTATTAGAAATAATAAAAGCAATTTTAAAAGAGTTAAAAGTTCATTTTTTGATCAAAAAGGTTCAAAAATAATACAGAATGGATTTAGACTAGAGTATTTGACTGGCCCTCTTTCAATAATCCCTTTTCACTTTAGATTTTCGTTGGTTACATTAGATAACGATAACTCGGATTTAAAAAATAAACAATTCAATGACAAAGTAGTATCGATACCGTCTGTAAAATGTCCGGAATCATCGAATCTAATGATGAAATCTATAAGTTTTATAGTGAGCTTTGTCTCCGAATATATTATTGAACCTATATTAATAGCATGTCGATTTACTTATTTACTCTGTTTATTTATGCCACTTATTGTTGGATCACCCATAATATTAATCGGTAAAAGAGTTCCTGAAAAGGATGATGAAAGGACAGGAGCGCTTTGTTGGTATAATATGTTGGTGAGAAGTATGGAACAGGCAGGGCCAACATTTATCAAGGTTTGAGTTATGGAAACTATATACATTAGTATTATATCAAATGTTTTTTATTCTTAATTCATCTAATCATTGGATTAGTTGGCACAATGGGCTGCCTCAAGAACTGATATATTTCCCAAGGAGATGTGCAAACTTCTTTCAAAACTTCATTCTGCCGTTGATCCACATCCATTTTATGAAACGAAACGAATTGTTGAAGAAGCATTTGGAAGACCACTTGAAGAAATCTTTATTGATTTTGATATGAAACCAATTGGAATAGGTGCAATTGCACAGGTATGAGAAAATCATGTGTATTTGTTTTTTTTTTGATTCGAGAACTAAATCCTTGTTTGATCTTTTTTTATTAGGTGTATAAAGCTATTATTCGACCCGAGATTCTTCCAACTTTTTTTTATGATGATTCTAATAGTTCTGATGTAATTCATCCTCCTGTGGTAGCTGTCAAAGTTTTACATCCTACAGCTGAAAAACATATACGTCGAGACTTGAAGATTTTAATGACATTTGCAAAAATAATTAATGTAATTCCCACAATGCAATGGCTTTCCTTTCCGGAAGAAGTTGAAATGTTTGGAGAAATGATGCAAGATCAATTGGATCTAAGGATCGAGGAAGCAAATTTATTGGAATTTCAAAACAATTTTCGTAATCGTAGAACGGTAAAATTTCCCAAACCTTTGATCGGTTACACTACAAAGAATATGTTAATAGAGGAATACGTCAGGGGATTGCCCATTAAATTATTCCTTGAGAATGGCGCTAGTGTATTTGATCATATGATTGCAAACATGGGTAAGTTCTATCTTTGTTTCATTTTTTCCATTCAAATCGAGACTTAATTTATTCTCATCTTTTTTGTTAAATAAATGATAGGTCTTGATGTTTTTCTTGTAGGTTGAGTCTCTATTTTGAATATATTTCCTATTGACTTTTCAAATTTTTAATATCATCGACATTTTCATCCCACTCTATATAGCATATGCTCATTCTTGATAATTTTGTGCACTCTGATTTACATCCTGGTAACATCATGATCAAATTCACGAAGTCGGATACCTATACCGTGTTACGACAATTTTGGAAAAATTACACCTCTTCCGATAAGCAGAACTCAAAGATTCGATACGGTGATCACGATTCGGATGTTGCGATCGAGAGACTATTATCAAAAAGTCACGACAAGGAACTTTGGTTGAATGAGTTGAAAGATTTATGTAATGAGGGGTATTTACCAAAACTAGTCTTCTTAGATACAGGATTGATAACGAGTTTAAATGAGGAAAATCGTCGAAATTTTTTGGATTTATTTCGTGCTATAGCAGAATTCAATGGTTATAAAGCTGGTAGATTAATGATTGATAGATGTAAAACTCCAAACTTGGTAATAGGTGGGGAAATATTTGCATTAAAGATGCAACATTTGGTATTAAATGTGAAGGCAATAACGCTTCAATTAGGAAAGATCGGAATTGCCGATATTTTAACTACGGTCTTACAAATGGTTAGGCAGCATCACGTGAAGTTAGAGGGTGATTTTGTCAATGTAATAATTTCAATTTTATTATTAGAAGGGATTGGTAGACGATTAGATCCAACCATGGATTTATTAAAAAGTGCTTTACCAATATTACGTGAATTGGGTTCGCATGGGGCAGGTCGAAGCATTTTGAAAGAAATTCCAGGAGGTGGCGCATGGTGGTTGAAATTTTGGTTTTGGTTAGAAGCTAGGGAATGGGTAGATAACGCATCATGGAAAGAATATGCTGCAATGTTTCATAAAAATGTGTGGTGGCCTGATATTTGATTTCTTTGCCTTTTTAGTAATTATTTTGATTGTGTTTCTATACATGTCAAAATCTTAATATAAGTAATTCAATAAAATAATAATGAAATCCCTTGAAAAAAGCAGATGATGATGATGATAATATTATTGATAAATTTTTTAATTTGATGAAAACTTCCAGAGAATTATATTATACAATTATAAATTATTTTGACCGTCATTTTTCTAACCCTATACCGTTATTGATCATCAAGCAAAATTATAACATATTTATATATAATTATATATAGCGCGTCATCTCCACTTTCTGCTTCGTTTTCTGCTTGAAACCGAGGTTTCCGATACCAGGAGTGAATGATTTTGTAATGAAGGATTCGAAGATGTATCTCTTACCGGATTGAATTTCACATTTCGAGAAATCAAACAAAACCTTCGCATAAAGCAAACAGAGAATATGATAACCGAAATCAACATGGCGAATTTAATGTAATTCTCGTTGTCCAAATGGTTTGACGTTTCCGTCACTTGATCAACTAGAACGGTGGGGGAGGTTGTTGCACGACCCTTGTTGATAACTTCGGGTCCCTTCTCCATGATCAGGTTGTCAAGTTCTTGTTGAATCATTTCATCCCCAACGTGATTGACATCCCCAAGGATGGGATCGGGAGCTTTTGAATAAAGTTCCTGAACCCCCTCCTCTTCGGAGGATCGATAAGTTTCACTCGACATCTCGTAATCGTTGTGTTTAACGATATGCGAGTAGGACTGATCCCTTTCAAAATCGTACAATCGAGATTCCTCAATGTTTCCGTTACCGTAGATGAACTTGAGTCCTAATAAGCGAAGTCTTTGCACCACATTGTTCCATATCGTCGTGGGAATGATATAATCTGGTGGAGGGGGGAATTCAAGGCGCATGTGATGAACGTTATGAATTATAACGTGAAGAGTAGAACCGGGAACATCCTCATCCTTTTGTGTCGAACTAGGAGTTGGACGAAGGACTTTTGATGTGATAGTTATTTGTACCGTTTCAGTCATTTCAACATTTCAAGGGTCAAACGCGAGTTAATAAGATTTGACTTTTTTTATTATTCTCTTGTTTGTTTTTGTGAGGATATTTATACGGATAGGATGGACTATATCACTATTACGTAATTGGAAGAGAAGCTTTATTAATAAGGATATAAATGGAAAGGGTTTTTTTTATTTATTTATATTTATATAGATATTATTACAACATCACCATAAAAAAAAACCAAAAGAAAAGGCGACAGATTTTTTTTTAAAAGTTTATCTCCTTTTCCCCCCTTTTTTTTCAAATCAAATAAACTATCGTCATGATCAAAAAATGTATGTAATCAATCAATCATTTTATGACATATCATGATGTAAAAGCAAAACAAAAAAATCTTAATCGCGGCATGCAAATGTTGCATAAAAATCTCCGAAAAAAAAAAAATTACCTCGTTACACCGCTAAGACCATTAAAATTCTGATAAATAGATAGGTAATTAAAAATATGTAAATATAAATAATATCAAATATGTCAAATACAGTATAATAATATGTAAAAAAAAAAAAATAAAAATAAAAATAATATTAAAAATTTTACCATTTAAAAAAGATCATCTTGAATAATTTTCAAGGATTTTTAGGTTACGATGATTTAATTTTAAATTCACCGATTAACGAGCGATATTTGATTAACCGTCAAAAAAAAAAAAAAAAAAAAAAATTATCTAGAAATTTGAGTAACGTTATAAAATAAAATAATGATAAAATAAGTATGGCTCGTGCTCATACTCGAATGTTTGTTAATTAAATCGTTTCACAGAAAATTTTTGAATAAAAAGGGATGGGTGTTTGTCATATTGCATGAAGTCATTGAAAAAAAAAAATTTTTTTTTTTTAAGCAAATGTAAAATCATATATATCACTCAACTTCATATCGCTTTCCTTTTATCACATTGGAACTTTTCCTGGTATTCGGGTGAAGTCAAAGTAAGCCAATAAATGAATTTTCATCAGACCCGATTTTAAAAATTGTGAAAAGTTAATAATCGACCGATAAAGAACAATAGTAATGAGAACAATCGGATCCGTTATCATAATAGGCTCAAAGACAGAGAGATTAGCGAACTCTGTAACAAACAAGAAGTTTATCTTCCCCACAATTTTTTTTTCTCCCCCGCGCAATGAACATCCTTGATGCCCTGCAACTTTCAAATACAGAAAAATTGATTTGATAACTGTTCATATGATAATTGAACAATATAATAATAAAATAAAACCTTATTATTATTAAATCATAAATAAATAAATGATAAAATAAATAAGATGTATATTTTTTATATATATAGTTTATATAAACCAATTATAAATTAAACTGTACCTCTTTGTATTCTTCCCCTCATTGATCAACATGCTCCAAAAAAACACAAATATTTGTTTGGACTCCCCGCTTTTTCTATATAATAAATTTATTGTTTTCATTATATGTAGTTACAAAAAAAAAAAAATCGTCCTAACCTTCTCAGCATGAGGCTTACTTTGATTGTTTGCATCTGGCATCGTAATGTTTGTAGCGATTAAATTATTTCTAAAATAGTGTAATAAATTCATCATTATTAAATGGTTTCACTTCATTATACCCGAATAAATAAAATTATTAAAACTGATAAAACTTTGATGTAAAAACTTTAAAATCAACTCAACCCAACTAATGCCCATTTGCGGTTAAAATCATCACCGTATAATAAAACATCAAAAAATGTAACGGATGTAAGGTTTGCATGATTGAATGCATGTGGAAACCTTGTTATGCCAAAGGAATTTTGTCAATCTTTAAAAAAACAAACGAGAAAATGGTGAGATTTTTATCTCGTGACCTTGACTAAAAAGGCATGATGATTGCTAAAATAACTCATTATATGGATGTTGAACGAATTAAAATTGTGTTTTGGAAAATGTCGTTTCTTTGCGAATAACGAAATGAGAAACGAATTGGGGTGAAATGAAAAAGATGGTAAAAGGAGGAAGAGGAAGGTTGTATGTAATATTAATTGATAAATAAATTGCTTGAAATTTTCAAAACTGAAGAAAACCATCCATTCCTTTTTTCATGGAAAAAAACATTTCACCTTCTTCACTCTCCCTCCCTCCCCATCTCTCTCTCTTTCTAAAATAAGACAACGCTCCTTCATAAATGGAAAGTAAAAACTTTTTTTTTTTTAAAACAATAATTTTTATTTTATTTATTTTTTTTTTCTTTTTGATGTTACAAACCGAATATATTTGGCGAAAAAAATTCAAGAGAATATTACCAACATTCACTATCAAACTATCATAATATCTATATTTTTTTCTCATTTTTACATAATAGTACATTGGAAATTGACATGTTAAGGTATGTTAATTTAAGGTAGCTTCGACTTGGGGGAAGGGTGGAATGTTGAAATCTCTTCAAGGTTAAAAGGTTAAAACTAGCACCCTTTTTGAATTTAATGAATATAGACGACAAACTCATGCGAATATATCTATTTATTTCCCCAAAAGTTAACTTTATTCGTCATCTCATATTTTACAACGAGACGAAAAAAAAAAGTGGTGATGAGAAAAAATTTAAGGAATTAGAACAAAATTTTTAAATTTTTGACGATAGAAAAAATGAAAAAGCGAGGAAAGAAGATAGAAATTTGCCATATTTTTTTTTTTGGCAAAAAAAAAAATTCCCATCCCAATAATTAGTGATTTTTACATATTATGATAAAAAAAAACCGAACAAAAAAAAAAAAAAAATTAAGTGCTTACGAAATCTTCTTTTTTTCGATATTATCCTTCACACTCATAAAAATCACCGAGCCATATTAGGCATGTGACCCCACTTGACCCCATTTTATTACCTGATGAATAATGGTCAAATAATTCCCCATACATTAACTACGCATAGACCTGTTCTATTAAACAATGATCGTTTTTAAGCAACGCTTTAAGTAAGACCCTGCATATAAGAATTCGCCCCGTCCAATCAGATCTCGCAGCAAGCTTCTTATCGTTGAAATTAACTAGTATCATAACAAGTTATCATTAAACTATGGAACATCGTTTCCCCACATCATATTTTTTTTTCTTGGTGCATGTTGATCTAACTGTTTCAAGGCCAAATTTCACAAAAAAAAAATTATTTTTTTCACAGAGTTGAAGATCCTTTCTTCTAGCTGCGGTGTTACATTTTGCCGTATCACACCATTATATAATAAATACAATATATATAAATAAATACATTATATAGTGTTTATTTATTACTTTAATATTTTTTTCTTGTACACCTTAGCCGTCAAAGATGTCAAAAAAAAAATTTGATTACAAGAAAAAATTTTTCTCCGGGTTCACAATTAACGAAAATAAACTTTCCTTAGTTTCTCAAACAAGAATGGCAACAAGTAAGAAATGAATGATTTTAAAAAAAGAAAAAAAAAAAAACAAATGATTATTTATTATTGTTGTAAACTTTTGCCGTTACACGATGGAAATTGGGCGAATTGAACAATGCACCATGGCGTTTTTATTCTATGCAGCATTTTTATGTAAAAATGCAAATGATTGTTTATGTGGGGGATATCACAAAAAAAAAAAAAAAATACGCCTTTTGTTTTAAGGAATTATTTTTTAAAGAATAACTTTGCAAAGGGACGCATTGGCGCATTGAAAATCACAAATATGAATGTCGGGTACTCGCATTTCTTTCTGTGCAGGTCAACGAAAAAAAAATTATCTTGCTTGATAAACATCAATTGATAAACGGCTAGTCATATGATTCATAGAAACTTTAAATGACCAATGCGTCAAATTAGATTATGTGGGGTAGGGCGATACATCATGCAAGATGTAATTAATTGCAAGAGAGAAAAAAAGATATATTTTTTTCCTTCCTCGATTACCAAATTCAAGGTAATAGCATGGGTAATTTTAATTACATAATGCAAGGTTAAAGATGTTTGAAACTTTAACAATTAACAATGAATCATTTACCAATTGTTATGGAAGTTAAAGAATTACGCCCTCCACAAAAAAAAAAATAATATTAAATATTTGTGGGGTTTCAAAGTGTAATGGATTAGTAAGTATTCCTTTTGTGAGTTCAATGACGCGGTGTAATTACAAACAGGATCCTAGCTTCATATTGGCGCCGATTCCTTTTTTTTTCTCTCTTTCGCGAAATTATAACAAAATAGTCTTCTTGGCGTGTGAACCTGTATGCGACCGATTTTTTTTTATTTAAAAGAGAAAGAAAATAATATTTTTTTTTGACAATCGGTACTAAAAAAGAAATACATATTTACATTTATAGTAACCCTATTGTGGACAACTATAATGTCTAATTATGGTAATTTACAGAGTTAATTAAAAACTACCCTAAAAGAAAATTTTTTTTTCAAGTAACAGGTATTAAAATTTGTTAAGTGGTAAAATAACAAGTTTCAGCTTCGATCATCAACTTTAAGTTTAATCTAGCAATTCATTTATCTCATTTCCCCATTTTCCATCGCTCCCAAAAGTCGAAATTAATCAACATCCAGTTTATCATTGTTATTTGCAGATTTATTAAATGATTAAAGTTCGGATAGAGCATATTTAGTTTATCACCAAGTTTGGTTGTTATGGTTGTGGGGTAAAGTAATAAATGTATTATAAAAAAATACATTAAGAATCAAAAAAGAAGTTGATCAATCAAGATGTGTACAAGTACAAAGCGTATGTATTTAGCAATTTAGATATTAATTGTCGTAAACAAAAATTATAAATATAAAAAAAAATTTTTTTTTTTGTATAATTAATTTGCTTGCAAATTTAAATTAAAATTCAGTAACAAATAAAGGAAATTAAATTAAAGTGAATTAATAATAACAAACATTCGGCATAAAACGTCAAAGGGCAAACAATTGCGCATAATATAAGTATTACGATTTTATCTCAATATATATCTATATATCTTTTTTAAATAAAGTAGATGGGACAAGATCCTAAAATCTTGAAATTTGATTCGGAATGAAAATTTATCAATATTTAAAAAAAAATATTCCCCCTGAGATTGAAAAAATTTCGAGATCCGTCGCGTTCGTCATTTGGATCAGCTAAATGATTGGCTGGTCGATTATGAACCTGAGTCGTTCCTCCGTCATTGATTAATAAATAATATTATTAGCTCGTCTCATTGTATTTTTTTCTCTGTCACGCAAAAATTTTCGAGATTTTTCCAACGAAACCTGTTGAACCGGTTTTTCTCGTATTTTCTAGTATCAAATTTCTCCTTCGTTCGGGATTACATGATTGGTTTAAAAGAAAATAATTCGATCTTTTTACAAGACGGTAATATATGCGCTCGTGATATCGTGCGGTAATCACTTTTGTATATCACGTCCCTCAAACATCAAAAATTCCTGAAATTTTTTAATTTATTCGTTCATTTGTCACTTTGCATATTATAAACTTTAATTTCTGCACCAAAAAAAAAAAAAAATCTCAATCTCTCCTCATTCCCCCACTTAAACCGATCTTGAGTTCACTCACCCACATAGAAAAAAAACGATTCCAAATAAATATTAATAATAATAACAACAATAACAAAAGATTAACATTGAATATAATTATAGGAATACATGCATGGTGACTTTCCCTTAAACTATAGAACATCTTACCACATATACTTATTATTAAAAAATCACAAGCAAAAACTCCCATATATTCTAATGAGTTACCAAATATGAAATCTTTTAAAAAAAAAAAAGAACTATAATTTTTAAGTGTGATAAGGAAAATCTATTACCATCTTCATTCTTTTTTTTTTTTTTTTTCTTGGTAGTTACAAAAAAATGCATGCATATCAAAGGAAAAAAATTTGAAATAGAAAGAGTTTTTTTTTTTTTTTGGAAATTGGATCGTGTAATTGGTTTTCGGATTTTTACCTTTTTTTGTCCTTAAATTTATAATGAATTCATTGAAGATGAACTTATGGCAAAAATTGTCCTTTGCGCTGCTTCCATTGTTTTTTTTCCATTGTTTTTTTTTACTCACCCCCTTTATCAACCACATACATGTACATGTAAACTTAAAAGTTCGAGATAACAATATAACTTTTAGTGGTTAGTGAAAAATTTATAATTAGATCCATAATGGTATATATTATGTGTTACTTCTTATTTCCATATTATATAAATACAATTGATTAAAAAGCACGGACATTGTATAGCTTGCAGATCTTGGGATCAAAAAAATCTTGAAGGAAAAAAAGGAAAATAAAACCGGCTATCGGATTGAGTATCATTCATCTTCCTTATCGAATGTAAAGAAAAAAGATTAATCGATCAATTCATTTTGGGGATAAGAGGTTAAAGGCTCATGCAAAAGTCGTTTGGCTTAATTGCGGACAATAAAGCCGCAAAAAGATTTTAAAAGGGAAATCTAATACGAGGATTCTTGCACGTGCCCTATATAATGATTAAATAGTGCAAGGGATTTTTTTTTTTTAAAAAAAATGATTATTCACGCAAAAGCAATTTTCTTCAAGCAGAAATTATGCATATACATTACATTACGTAGATCACAATTAATCTAATTAATCTTATTACGCGTTTAGGATTTACCCCATAATGGTCCGTTTTTGATTCAAAGTTTGCGAAATGCTTTATTTCCCAAATTTTTTTTTTTGATCATTAAGTTGCGACCTATTTCATCGCGTTTTACCATAATAGGAAACTTGGACTGGTCCGTGTTATTCATCATGGTTCAAAGAATCTCGAAAACATGACGACTAACGATCAATTAGTACAACCACGGTATAATATTAGCTGCTAATTGAATATTTGTCGAATATTATTGTTGCACAATTTGTGATACTAGACCAGGTAAGTGTCGATAGAAGGGAGACAATGGAATTCTTTTTTTAAAAAAAATAATGACAATAATGTTAAATGCAAGGCGCGAAAAAAAAACCATTTGGCGTCAGCCTAAAAAAGACGCACTACGGCGTTTTAATTATTTATAGTACAAATGCTTATTTGTTTGTTATATGACCGAATAATATTGACATCATAAGATAATTAAGGTTTAGGTTATTCTGTCTAATGGAGAAATGTTTCAAAGCGGTTTGTTCTCGACAATTCTCATGACACGATAGAAGTTCTCTTGAACAAAAATTTGTTCAAGATACATACATATATGCAAGTTGGCTTTTTTTTTGAAGAATTATTAAGTTCCTTAAACATTAACCAAAATATATCTAAAAGACTAAATATTTCAATATTTTCGTTAATCTGTTTGGAATACAACATGAAGCATACATACTAAGCAGTTAAAGGGAGAAAAAATGAATGACAATAACCCCTTTAAAAGATTATTTAACAATTGAAAAAATAAACATGCAGCTTTTTTTTTCGGCCTTGGGTATCAATAGCATTTTCAATAATCTTCAAGATAAAAAAACTATTGTTGTAAAAAGTTTACCTAATAACAAGCAAGCCACACTTTTCCTGATAGGATGAGATATGACAAAGATAATAAAGATAATGCAATAAAGTTTGAACATGAATTTGAAAAGAAGTAACAAAAAAAAAAAAAACTGGATATAAACAAGTATATAGATGTAATGTTTTGGTGTCATGTGTACTTTTGTTGTGCATTTTATTCCTTTTTTTGTGATTTACCTTGTTACAAACAAGATAATTTGTGCTATACTTTAACTCAAATACTGCGGATTTAGTTTTTTACATACGCAGGAAAAAAAAACATTTGACAGAAATTTGACATCTCTCCATAAAAAAATATATTTGAACCTAAATAAGGACAGAATGCATTTGAACTTAAGATTGGTAAGAGGTCACGATGAAGAAGTTCGAAAATGATTGTGTCTGATAAACATTGCGTGGGATATAATAAAATCACTCGTCATATTTTTGAGTTGAGCAAATCAAATAAACCTTCTCCCAAATGACCCGCAGTAAAATAAAGGCTCAACATAATATCTCGAAACGTAACAAAAATGGAAATGCATTTTTACGTAGATCTTTTTAATAAGATAAGATTTATTTAGATAGCAATTTCAACAAATAAATAATACTGTTAATCAATTCAATCAGTTCAATTACGTAACGATTCAATTAAACATTCCATTTTGTAAAATAATATAATTTTTTTTGTTTATTGTTTAACAATTTATTTTGTTCAATCGTAAAATTTTTTTTTTAATCTTGATGAAAATCAAACAAGTTTTTTTTTTCTCTTGTTTCAAAAAAAAAAAAGCCATTCTTTTCTATTGGAGGAGTAAATCAATTGATATGCATGACAGATAAATTGATTTCAAAAAACCCGTTCATTCTCATGATAAGTGATGATTACTATATGATAATAAAAAATCCTAATTCAGATAATTTAATTCATATATGAACATTTTTTGATGAGCTTACCGTACATTTGGCATTATTTATTTATATTCTTGAAGTAAAGTTTCCTTGTAATTATTGTTATTTACCACTGTTTGTTAATTATTTAATGTGGAGAGGGGTAAAAAAAAAAATAAAAATAAAAATAAAAAAAGGAGTAAATTTTTTAGATTGGCATTGGGCAATGGATGATCAATAAATTATGAAAAAGAAGCACTGATCACATTTAGATCACAATTGATCATATCTCGCACATCAAATAACGTTTTGCATAACGGCGTTTTTTTTTTTTTTTTTTTTTTTTTTTTCCTCTCATGATATCTTTTTTTTTACCCATGGAAAAAGTTAATGCTCAGGGATTTACCACATTTAAATGAATGTTTACCGCCCAATATCATACCATCATTTACCATGCTAATAATGACAATGTTATTATTATTTATCGGGAATGAACCTTATTTTGAGGTGGGACACAATAAATATTGATCAAATAGGAGGGGGGAAATTAGACAAAATAACTTTGGGAGGAATTAACAAAGGTAATTCGGTACAAGGTTACACATTAAATGTTAGGTGATAAGATAAGTAAAGGTAGTGATAGTCAAATTAAATTAGGATATAAAAATTATGGAGAAAATAAACAAGATGTAGGAAACTCGTGGAAATAACTATTGAAAGGAAAGAAGAACGAAACAAAATACTTTATAAAGTAAATTGGCGAACAAAAGAGAAATTTACCATTTTTAATTCTTTGTTCTTTATGTAAGATGATTATCAACTAGTGAATATAATTAAATTTAGAAGTAATCCCCGAGCAACTTGAAACTAAACACGACTTTCAATAATGCTTTTTTAAATAACGGGTAACTCGCACAATGTAATACCTTAATTTAAGCTAAACTACTTTTTCTCTACTCATTCAGGGCCATTCGCGCAATTTCACATACGACCATTTTTGGCGCATTGTGTGGGGAAGATATATTGTTGTGATGTTGTGATTATTGAAGGTAAAAGAGCACTTCCGTTTATGGCGTTGACATATATTTGACATTATAATAACAATTTTCAAATTTCACAATTCGAATGAATATTAGTGTAATAATAATGAAAAAAAAAAAAGATGAGATTTTTATATTTATTTTTTTTTTTTGATTATTTAAATCTGAAGTTAGGTTTCCTAATTTCGGCCAAAATCAAAAATCATCATAATTTTTGGCTGAATTTATGATATCACAAATTTTTTTTTTTTTTTGTCACCATTATAAGTCAAGCATAGTTTAACCCTTCTAATCGTCGCTTAATAAAAGAGAACAAATAATTATTGAGTTGAGGCACATAAATTTAATTTTTTACAATACAAAGATTTTAAATATACACACACATATATATACATTTAGTTTATTTATTTTATTTATTTATATGCAATAATATAAAGTGAACTATTATAAATTTTTTTTTTATTTATTTATGTAATTGGCTAATACAAAAAAGATGTGCGATTTTTTTTGGTGTCACATAATTTTTATATTGTTAAAATTGTTTATTTACATATATATAAAAAAATTTTTTTCTATATAATAGTGTCTCAACCAGCATTTTTCCTAGTCTCGAAACGTTAAAACAAAATTGAAGTCACCTTTCCTATCCGCTTCTGTTTTCAACCACCAAAACAAGAACACGTTCAAAGACATTTGGTTTTGGTGTCTTGTTTGTTATTCTTGCTTTGGAAACGAAAAAAAATATTTCATATCTCTCTCCACTTGTTCTTCTCTTTTCTTCCTTTTACCACCCAACCACGAAAGACCTTATAACGGTTTCTAACGACAAAAACGAAAAGAAACAAGAAGCATCTCTTCAAAATTTCCATTTATTCCCCACTCATTAAAAATCATGTCATCATTGTACCAGTCAAAAGATAAGGTAATCTATCCCTTTTTTATATATATATATTTTAACCCCAATTTTTCTCATTTTTTTGCGACGTCAACCCACTATATGATTGTTGATCTTGAAATTAAATTTGTTTTTTTTTTTGTTTTACCTTTTAGCTGCGTATATTTTCCCCGATCATACTGTTCCATGAGCACAGATACAGAAGCGAAAGCGAAAATGAGCAATTTGTGGTGGTTAGTCAGAATAATGACCATCAAAAACATTTTATATTATCGCAGAAGAGGAAAGTTGATGAAATGATGTCAACCAACAGCCGCTTCTGGCTAACAGTTTCCGAGAATTCCCGAGGTAATTTTTTTTTAAATTTTTATAAATTATTTGTCTCACCATTTTCTCTTTTTCTAAAAAAAAAAGTTTATATTTTTTTTAGAATACGAAAGGCTCATATATGGTCGAGAACAAATGATCGATCATAGATCGACAATGGCAACGCCAAATCTTGCCAATTCCATTTATACACATCAGCACCAAGATTCGCTCGAACCTACCCCAAAACCAAAAAGACGTCGGGGTAACCTCCCAAAGGCCACGACAGCCCTTTTAAAAGATTGGTTAGCGATGCACCGAAAGCATCCTTACCCCACGGAGGAGGAGAAGCTGGGTTTGTCAAGGCAGACCAAGCTTAGCCTACAGCAGATATCCAATTGGTTCATTAACGCGCGGAGGCGCCACCTTCCGCACCTTTTGGAATCTTCGGATTTCTCTTCCTCTCCCTCCCCAAATAATGAGTTGGATATATTCCCCTATGAAGCGGCTTCAGGGAATTCTACTGGTAACCTATCCGATCAATAATTATAGGATTTCTTTTTTTTTCACTATACCCTTATATTAAATTATTTAATTTCATTATATTTAAAAGACAGTGCCTCGGATAATGGCAAACAACATATCAGACGCCATTGTACCCGCATTGAAAAGACCGGTGGCGTAAAAAAGTCATATCTACGAAGTAGAAGAAAGCCATCGCTATAGATCCCCAAAATAATTAACCCTCTCCCAAAACCATAAAAATTTTACCTCCCCCTCCCAATAAAGACTTTTTCTTCTTTCGATTTTTTTTATTTTTTTTTCTTGTCGTTATCGATTTAGCGCGCACATTTAAAACATCGTTTGTATGTATACTGGGTGAAAATCAAAAAATATACGGGGCCAATTTTATATAGATTTAATAATTACTTTTTTTTACCAACGGGGTTTTTAAGACGCGTCCTTTTCTCTCAAACAAAGAAAAAAAAACCTTTTTTTTTTTTTCGACAAATAAGTTTTTTTTTTTTTTTTTTTTTTTAGGAAAAAAAAAAAAATTATGATCAAAAAAGAATGAAATCTTTAAAATGAGATTAATATTAAGTTTTTTATTCGTAATTATTTTTGATTTTATTAATCGTTGGTTTTTTTTTTAAAAAAAAAAAAAGGACCATTCGACGATTAATTATGTATATTAAGTATATATATATATATATTTATTTATTTATTTATTATTCTCTTTTTTTCTTTTTTTTTTGAGAATTTCTTTCTATTTTTTTTGAAAAAAAGTTAGTAGAGTATAAGGACATTGCTTAATTAATGTAAGAATTAGTGTCGTGTTGGTAAAAAAAAAAAAAAAAAAAAAAAAAGGAAAATTTAACATTTTAATATAATAATAATACGAAACAAAAAAAAAACAAAAAAAACAAAAAAAAAAATAAGAAAATATTAAAATTAAAAAAAAAACTAGTTAAAAAAAAAACAAAAAAAAAATTAAGAAGTTGCCCCTTACAAAAAAAACGAAAATTCTTATTGAAAATAAAACAAATATTTCATTTTTTTTTCGAATTTTCACCTTATATTTAATAATGTAACAAATTGTATATAAAAAAAACAAATCAATTGTGTGTGTGTGCGTGCGTTATTATAGTTATATTGTTATTTATCTTTTTTTTTCCACACATTATTATATACATATTTATCCATGATATTCGATATTTAATTTATATTATATTTTATAAACCAACACATATTATTACTATCCATGTAAATTCTTATTTTTTTCCTTCGACCTTTTTATATATAAAAATTAATTATAAATAAAAAAAAAATAATTAATTATTAAGAATAAAAAATATATATATACTATTATTATTTTCGCGCGTATTAGGATTTTTTTTTTAAAAAAACATATATTTTCCTTTGCTGTAAAATGTATTATAAATATCTGGCGAATGATAATAATTAATTGTACACGCGTATTAGTGAGTTTAGCATGCATGTGAAAAGTATTAAAAGTTTTTTTTGGCATAAAGATTGACCGAGTGAACTTTACATGTTTTCCATTCATAGGATTCGCAAAAGGTACGGGAGATTGTATTACATGAAGTCTTTGTGCACGGACCAGGTCGGGGTTTTAAAGGATTTACATTAGCGATCTGAAAATATAATAAAAATACATCACTAGTAAGAATTTGGAAGTTCGTATACGATTATGGTATTGATATTAATTTAAAAATGAGCTAGATAAGGTAGTAACGGAAAATTTTTTTTTGTGACGTGTGGAAACACATATTTCTCGTAAGAGAGAAAAAAAGTTTTTTTCATTCATAAAAAATTTGATATCTCGAAAAGAGCCAATTCAACGCTATATTTATAGTCAAATCGAACCTTTTTTTTTTTTTTTTTTTTTGAAATTTTTTATTAGATGAATCGTTCATATGTATTTTCTTATCCGTGTTTACATCTGATAGGTGTTGAATTTATAAGTTTAGCGCGTATTTTTTTTATGTCGAATGTATTTGGCTTAAATATTTGTTTTGTAAAAATCTCTCTTACTTTGGTAACACCACATGAAATTTTAAATTCGGAAAAAATATATAAAATTGTGGTTCACGAAAAAAAAAAAAGTGGGGTTTTTTTTATACAGAATTATCAAAACCGTTTTTTATTAAGAAAAAATAAATAAATTATAAATTATCCTTTTTTAAATTTATGTATAGATAGATATAGGATCTTTCATTTCTAGAATAAACTCTTTTAATAAAATTACCATTATTTTCTTTATTTTATTTTTTTTCTTTTTATAGCGAGATTATATTTTGGATATACCGTAAAAAGGAGAGATTAAAATGATTAAATATAACTTTATAAAGTTCCCGTTAACCGTTACTTTTTGAACTTTCCATCATTTATTTAATCTATCAATTAAACATACATATAATTCTTTTCCCTAATGAGAATTCATCTTCATCATATTATCATTATTTCTCTTTTTTAAAAGGTTATTCTCTTTTAAAATAAAAGGTTATTCTCAAAAATAGGATAAATTGAAAATTCATTTTACGCCATGATGAATAATTCTTTTGAGATTGGCGTTTATACATTGTTATGATGAAATGATTTGTTATCAGTTCATTTCTCGGTTTTTTTTTTTATGTCAAGATTACAAAGATTACTTATTATTGTTTTACTCCAAAAAAAAAAATTATGTTTATTATACAACTTTTTTAATCCAAGCCCGTTATTGGTGTTTGCAACTGTGCAGATCGGTACATCAAATGTCTGAACCTTTGATCTCATTCGGTTCTTGAAATATATATATATATATTTTTTTTCGCCGCCAAACGAAATGCAAATGACATTAATTATCGCAGCTTGCCTTACATAATCGGGAGATTTCATTGAACAATGAACCCTGCATTATTATTATTATTATTTGTATCAAAATTGCTCTTTTTCGATGTAAAAAAAAAAAATTTAGAAGGTTGATCCGTTAATGATCGTTTCCGCTTATGAAAAAGATCTCCAAAAATGCTTTGATCAATGAAACCATTTTCTCCTCTCAACTACTAAAATATGTTGACATTCATCATCGTTATTTTAATTTTTTGTGCATCACTTTTTTTTTAAAATTCAAATAAAAATAAAAAACAATCTCGAGTAAGATTTGGTTACACGAAATCTTGTCATGTAGACTCGTAAATTCTCGATTATTTTCGGCCAGCATTAACTTATATAATTGAATTCTTTTTATTTTTATAAATAATCATAAAATGCAAAATTGATTTAATGTATGTACGTATATATAATATATATATGCAGAAGTGATAGTAGTATATTCTAAATAAGTTGTTTGTCGTAAAAATGAATCAAATTTGCAGATAAATTAAACTGTAAAATTTGTAAATTGAATCAATCCAACACGCATCATTATATGTAGGAATAATAAAATTTTCTTTTCTCAGTACCACGTTCAATACGCGCAACAGGAGCTGGTAATTGAACTGATCTAGTTCTCCGAATCGTCTCGTTTCGTGGCATTGCTGAGTTAATGGGCGAATTCGGTATCGTTCTAATCGAGTTAACCCGCGGAATTGTTGAGTTGGAGTGTAAAGGTGATCTTTGGACTATCGTTCGTGGCATCGATACTTGAGTCGAACCGTACGAGTTAGAGGATGAAATCGAGCCGGTTCGTGCTGTCCCAATTCGTGGTATTGTTGAGTTGTTTGTTGAGTTGGTGGATGAAATCGGCATTTTTCTAATCGAGTTAACGCGCGGAACTGTAAAGTTGGAGTGTAAAGATGGTATCTGAGCCGCCATTCGTGGCATTCGCGGTATTGTTGAGTTAGTGTGAGAGATAGAAGATGAAATAGGTATTGATCTAATTGAGCTAATCCGCGGACTTGTAGAGTTGGAGTGTAAAGACGATCTCTGAGTCATCGTTCGTGGAATCGATACTTGAGTCGAACTGTACGAGAAAGAAGGTGAACTCGAGCCATTTCGTGATACTAAAGAACCTTTTGATCTTGAGTTTATGTGAGAGATCGGTAATTGAATTGTTCTAATCGAGTTGTCTTGTGGTATATATTCTTCATGATATTCATGATATTCGTCAATAAAATTTTCGGTTTTATCAACCTCAACATCGCTATCAAATTCATCAAAGTATTCCTCAAAAGTTTCTCGACCTTGATCATTGTAATTATCCAGTGAAGGATTAATTTTAACCGAGTCCGTCGAATCATTCGAATCACTCGAATCACTCGAATCGATATCATAAAAAGTACAACTTTTGTTCATTCCATGACGTTGAGTGATCCTCCTTAGTACCAGAGCTCCAAACAGTATTAAAAGCAAATCAAATGTTAATAAACCTGCTGCTAACAATGAGCCATAGATTTTAGAAGCTTGAAAGGATGTAACCCATATTCCGGATGCTTCAATATCAATTTCAAGTTTCTCGATTGCATATGCTAACACTATTTTAATTTTATTTTTTTATATGTTTTATTTATTTATTTTATTTTATATTTGTTTGAATTAGAATGAAATAATATTTAATATAAGGAAAAAAAAAAAAAAAACAAATAGCAATAACAAGGAATCAACTTTTTTCACATACGACAGTGATTTTTTTGTATTTACCATTTGACATGAAGAACGTTAACAATAACATCAAATGAGTTGGTAAAGACATTTGAAAGAGAAGAAGTTCGAAAGAATTTCTTTATGGGAAAGGGAAAAGGTTAACATCATCTGCTTTTAAGTCTTTAACATTTTGTTAGTTGTTCAACTATTTTAACTTTTCTTTTCCCCGTGAAGGAAAAAAAAGAAAAGGTCGGGTTAAACTTAATTCATTTATTATTTGTTTGTTTAATCTACAGGATAAAGTTATTCTAAATTAGGTACAAAATCTCCTTTCTTTCTTTTTTCTTTCTTTTTTTTTTTTTTGATGATACAATCAATTTCTGAATTAAGCTTTAGGAAAATCCGTAAAAAATTGTTAATCCGTTATCAAAATTTTTTTTTCCGAAAAAAATCCAATCTAAAACGTTTAAATTGTAGACTCATTGGTAAGGAACTTTATCATCATCCTATTTGTGGTAGTCAATAAACTCCAGCTAATGAGTCTTGGTATTGAATAAAGGAGATAGTGTAGGAGTGAATAAAAGCATTTATCAAAATTTCATTCACTTACAATAATCTAAACTCCATAGAGTACTTAAGGAAACTTTTTAACCTTTAGTTAATGCCTATTAAATAAATTTGTCAACTTATGGGATAATCGACAATTTTTGATGTGACAGTCATGTTTTCTACGATTACTAAAATCAAAATAATTTCTTCTTTTGAGAAGGAATAATTAAATACGACACTTTTCGTATCATCTTCAAAGATTCAAATTAAGAAGCATACATGTTTATATCGTTATATCGAATTAACCTCTTGAAAAAAAATCTATGAATGATTTGAAATACCAAGATTTAAACTTTTTTTTAAGGGCCGGTCTGTGTTACAATAAGTTTTTCTAAAAAATCATCTTTCTTATTTAGGTGATTCGTGTCACTTCCGTCAAAACCATAAAAAGAAAAATAGGTAATTTAATGGATCGAAGAATTTAGAAAACATTAAAAAGAAGGAAAGGTGAAAGAGTTGAATTAGCTGGAGACAAATTGCTGGACTAGAAGGGTCTAGTGATAGAGAGGAAATGGGAAAGACAGAAGAGGAGAAAAAAAAAAGTTGGAAGAGGAGGGAAGCAATTAATAAAATTACAAAATAGATTTTAATGAAATAGATTGCGTAAAAAAATATATATACAAAACATTCTTTTCAATTCGTTATCTTTATTCACTTCATTATTTATCAATAAATCTTAGGAAAAAATAAAGATATTGAATGTATTCAAGCTTCCAAATCTATACAATTCAACCATGTAGTTCATAAGTTTTTTCATGAATTTTTATGTGTATCTTCCTTTTTCACTCGTTCTCTCAAGTCGCATTTGGGAGGATGATACTAGAAGAATGTCCTTTATTAGACAATAACTCTATTTTTGTTTTATTCGTTTATTTTCTTTTTTCTTTTGCTAATGATAAATTTAATTTTATTATGTTTTTAGTAATATTCTAGTATCAGATCTTAATTTGTGGAAATACGTAGACTACAAAAACTTCATGTTGACAAAAGATTTTGTCTGACAAATTGGAATGGGATATACTTTATATCTGAAAAGTTTGAAAAATATATGTTCCTCTCAACGATCGAAATCTTTTTTCTTGAACCAATAACTTCTTATGAAGGTTGTGCGTACAAAATCATCCACCACAAATGATTTTTTTGTGGAATGAAGTAAAGTAAAACTATGGATTAAAGTCTTACCAGTCATCAGGCTTGATTCTTCTAAATGAAGGACAAAACATATTAAAAAAGAGTCTAATCTGATCAATTTAAAACAATCGGGGAAAGATATATATTTACCATCATATATCTTGATGGCGTCAAAGATTCCTTGTATCAATTAATTATCCTTTTGGTTGGACACAAAAGTAATGAATGAAGTGGTAATCCTAATTGATAAATATGATCAACCACGTTAAGCATTCTTGATATCAAAGAAAGTTTGGTAATTATCGTGAAATATTGAAGAGATTTTTTTGAAGTCATTAAAGAGTATCACAATTTACGCATCAATTTTTATTTATCACTGGTGTCACAATGTTTTTACATGTCAGTTTATTTTCAGGTGCAAATATTCTTAGCATAGATATTATGGAACAAACATCAAACATTTGAAAACAAATTATTAATAATGCACAAGAAGTGTTGCTAACCTTCAGAAAAAAATAAAATGGCTACTCTTAAGACGAAGTGTGTGATCCATACAATATAAATATGTTTTTTAATTGTTCAAAATGAAAAAACTAGACTTTGGGCCAAGATGATCAATATATTACATTGCGGATCAATAAAGATTCAATTATACCTGTTAGTATTGCGGATACACAGAAATCATTCACGTTCCCTGTGTTATTATCTTCTTAAACTGGTTATTTTGCGATCAAACAATTGAAATTCTAACTCAAAATACGTGAATCCTTAATATGTGAACGTTGATGGAACTTCATTAGAAACTGTATTCAATGCAAATTTGTTTATTTCTGATAGAATTTAATATGAATTTGGCTTCTGTCCCATAAATTGCTACTAATAAGGCACCAAAACTATGAAGGTTATTTATTATCTTTACAAGAAAATTATCAAAAAAAATTTTTTTACTTTATATGCTAAATATGATTAAAACAAGTTCAGATTTAACATTATTTCAAAAAAAAATTTGGAGTTTCTTTTTACTGCAAAACCGCTATATGATAACATGTCAATTTGTCAATCATTTGTAAGAATATTTCAAATAAAGGTCAAAGTGATATATAGATTGTAACAATTAAAACCATTAACTTATTGAATTCAAATGTTATAATCTATCAAAACAGAAAATTAAATAAGAAAATCAACTTCTTAATTTAAGAAGCAAATATTTATGAAAGTAATTATATTAGCAATATGTTGTTAAATGAAAGGTTTGCTAGAAAATAGGACTCTGAGAATTTTTTATTAAAATTTTTATTTATATCATTTTAATCTAATATTATCAAAAATTAAAATACAATAAAAATTAAAATTTTAATAAAAAATTCTTATAGTCCTATTTTCCTAGCAAATCTTTTATATTTGCAAACAAGTCTCTTAATACTGCAAAAAAAGATTACAATATTACAGAACTAGAATATTTAGTAATAATATAAGTGGTAAATATTTTATTTAAAAATCAATTTACTATTTACAATGATTATTAAACTTTGATTTAAAAATAACTAAAATAAATGTATAGTAAAATAAAAACTTATTTTACAAGAATTCAAATATGAAATAAATATAGAAAAAAATAATTATACTAATATTAATGATATATATGAAGTTAAAATGGATCATTTCGGATATCTGAAATGGTTGAAATGGTCAAAATCATTTCGACCATTAGAGGCTAAAGTCACGAAATAATCGAAATAACATCATATCACATGATTTTTCATATTTAAAAAAAACAAAAATCGAAACTAGGCAGATCCAATAAGCTAACATTTATTGATTTCAGATCATCCAATCATAAGATATTCACAATTGTATTATCGGCTAAAATTATAAATCAATAAATTCTACTTTAAATAAAGGAGTCCAGATTTTGAAATACGATCGCAAATATCTCAAGATGGGATGATCCAAAATCAATGAATGTTAGCTTATTATATTCGTCTAGTCGTAAGGAATCAAATGGTAATTGTTTCATACAAAATCAGAGCGATATTGACTGAGATCATACATCTTTTGTTTTTTTTGTTTTTCTATATATAAAAAATCATGTGATATAACGTAATTTCGACTATTTTAACTTTTCATTTCGACTTTAACCTCCAAAGTCAAAACATTTCAACTTTTGGATTTTCATTTCAAATTTATATATAACTAATGCTTTACTCACTCTTATTATTATTATAGCTATTTTTATTCTTCATACAGCTAATTTCATAATTCATAAATCACTAATAAATTCTGATTGAATACAACTAAAAATATTTTATAATAAAATTACTATAAAATATTGTGACTGAATATGACTGAAAAATTATTAATAATCCATAAATTATAAAATTAGCTATAAGTTACTTCAGTGGAGACATATTTTCTAATTGAGATGAAATTTCTAGTTTAGGCAAATTAGAAATCTTTTATATATTATATATATTATTCACAATTTTGAAATAATTGAGAATATACTAATATACGAATAAGCTAAACTAGTTTGTAAGTTTTACAAATTAGCTTACTAAAGCTCATCTTAAGTCACTATAAAATGTCTTACAAGCTGATTAAACTATGGTTAAAGATAATACTGTAATTAAGAAGTTACAACTTAGTAAGTTACAATTTTTTGTAAAATTTATTTTAATATAAAAATTCATAAAATGTTGCAACTCAAAGTGTTACAACTTAAGTTGCAACTAGTTAAAATTTTTAAAAATAATTATGGGAACTATCTTTATGCAAGACTTTCAAATCCACAATCATTACTAGTTTTAGATTCATTTTCTGCACATCTTGTTAATTCTGTAAAAAGGCGTTTTAATGAAAAAAATACTAATCTTGCTGTTATTTCTAAAGGATTAACATCACGCCTACAACCTTTGGATATTTCAGTAAATAAATCATTTAAAACAAAAGTAAGAAACTTAATATATATTAATTTTTAAAAAATAAATTTAATAATCATCTTTATTTTTTTATTTATTTTATAGATACGACAAAATTATAACAATTGGATAGCTGATTCTATAAAAGAATTAACATTATCTGGTAATATTAAAAGACCTTCTTATGAAACTGTAGTAAGTTGGGTTAATAATTTATAGAATGCTATTGATATTAATTTAATTTAACGATCTATTAAATGTTGTGGTATTTCCAATAAACGTGATAAAACAGAAGATAAATTAATCTTTAATTATAATTGTCTTAGACAATCAGGTTAATTAAATGATAATATAGAAATAGATAATGAAAATAAAGATCAAAGAGTAGATAATAAAGAAAATATTGATAATTATTATGATAAAGAAGGAATAAATCATATTAATATGTAGG